TGTTGATATGGGTTCTGTCATGGTTTGAATTATGTCCCCCCAAAAATGTGTATATCAGTTTGGCTGGGCCATGATTCCCAGAATTGTGTGGTTGGCCTCCATTGTGTGATTGTAATTTTATGTTAAAGAGGATTAGGGTGGGATTGTAACACCACCTTTACCCAGGTCACATCCCTGATCCAATGTGAAGGGAGTTTCCCTGGGGTGTGGCCTGCACCACCTTTTATCTCTCAAAGATAAAAGGAAAGGAAGAAAACAGAGAGTTGGGGACCTCATACCATCAAGAAAGCAATGCCAGGAGCAGAGCACGTCCTTTGGACCGGGGTCCCTGTGCCAAGAAGCTCCTAGTCTGGGGGAACACTGATGAGAAGGCCGAGAGACAGAAAGCCTTCCCCTGGAGCTGACACCCTGAATTTGGACTTTTAGCCTACTTTACTGTAAGGAAATAGACTTCTCTTTGTTAAAACCATCCACTTGTGGTATTTCTGTTATAGCAGCCCTAGATAACTAAGACAGGTTCCAAGTAAGATAATGATACTTTTAAAAATAATTTAAAAATATATTTTATTATGGTAATTATCAAACATACATAAGAGTAGGGAAAATAACATAAGGAACCTCCATTTACCCATTACTCACCTTCAACAATCATCAACCCAACACTATACCGACTCGTCTTCCCTCCTCAAACTGAATCATTTTGAAGCAAATCTTTAATCTTGTTTCCCTTTTGTTTCTCATCTATCCCTGGACTATGAACTAAAAAACTTGAGTTCCAGGTCTGTGTTTTTTGACACTTACCAGCTGATTTTGACATTCACCAGATGATTTTCGCACTTACCAGGGGCAAGTTGTATAATCATTCTGGACTCTCATTTTTTTCACCTCAGTGGGTGAACTAGATGACTTCTAAGGTTCCTTCAAGTTTTAGAAACCAAAAATTCTTTCCAGGGTTATCCTTTAAGCCTCCAGAGACATACCAATTTGGTACAGGATCTATTTGCTGTTTTTTTTTTTTTTTTAATTAATCAATTAATTAATTTTGGTGCAATGCCCAATTTAGAGTCGAGACCCTCTCAAGAGAGAGTCAAGAAAAAGTCCTAGAAGCTGCTGAGTGGTGGGATCTTAAACTTAGGGCTTTAGAAAATAAATGAGCATTTGAAGCTGTCCCTTGAAAACAATTTTGTGCTGCCCTCAGTGTCTCTTCTGAAAACTTCAATCTCTCTTAAACATGTGATGCTGGGAAGGTTCAAATTCTCAAAATAGATTCCCCTTTTATTATTAGTATTATTTTTATTTTTTATTGTGCTTTAGGTGAAAGTTTACACTCAAGTTAATTCCTCATTCAAATAATTTATACACACATTATTTTGTGACATTGGTTGCAATCCCCACAATGTGACAGCATGCTCCCCCTTTCCATCTTGGGTTCCCTGTGTCCATTCGTCCAGCTCCTGTCCCTTCCTACCTTGTTATCCTGCTTTTGGACGGGAGCTGCCCATTCGATCTCTTACGTTTGATTGAACTAAGAAGCACGTTCCGCATGTGTGTTATTGTTTGTTTAATAGGCCTGTCTAAGCTTTGTCTGAAAAGTGGGCTTGAGGAATGGTTTCAGTTCTGGGTTAACAGAGCATCTGGGAGCCATAGTTTTGGGGGTTCCTCCAGTCTCTGTCAGACCAGTAAATCTGATCTTTTTATGTGAATTTGAATTCTGTTCTACATTTTTCTCCTGCTCCGTCTGGGACTGTCTGTTGTGATCCCTGTCAGGATGATCGTTGGTGGTAGCCAGGCACCATCCAGTTCTTCTGGACTCAGGCTGGTGGAATCTGTGGTTCATGTGGTCCTTTAGTCCTTTGGGTTAGTATTTTCCTTGTGTCTTTGGTTTTCTTCATTCTCCATTGCTTTTGCGGGGATGGGACCAACAGATGTATCTTAGATGGCCACTTGCAGGCTTTTAAGACCCCAGACACTACTCATCAAAGTGAAATATAGAACATTTTCTTTATAAACGTTGTTATGCCAACTGACCTAGGTGTTCCCTGAGACTATGGTCCCCATAGATTCCCCTTTTAAAAACACCAGCCTGAAACCAATAGCTAGGGAAAAGGCAAAGTCTATATTCCTTTTTGGGGGCTGTCTTAGGCTGGGTTCCCTAGAGAAGCAAAACCTGTAAAACATATAAATATATATATAGAGAGATTTATATCAAGGAAACAGCTCATGTGATTGTAGAGGCTAGAACGTCCCAAGTACATGGATAAAGGTAGAGGTCACTCCCAACTCACGCAGCCACAGAAGCTGGAGAGCCCAAGATCGGCAGCTCAGAGAGCGGGGCTCCTGCTCACAGTCTGTGAAGGTCGATGAATTCTAAGATCAGCAGGCAAGACAGCAAGGTTTCTCCTGATTCACATAGCTGCAGGGGCTGGCGCACCCAGGATTGGTAGGTCAGGGAACAGGGCTCTGCTCACAGGCTGTGAAGATCAATTAATCCCAAGTTCGGCGGATAAACTGACAGCTCAAGTCCTAAGAACCGGAGGTCAGATGAACAGGAGGCAGCCACAGGATCCAGAATGAGCAAAAAGCCAGAATGTCTGCTTATATTCAGCTGCAGGCCACACCCTCAGGGAAACTCCCTTTCCACTGATTGGCTACTCACAGCATATTCAATCATGGAAGTGATCACATATAAACACTGAGAATCATGGCCCAGCCAAGTTGACATACAATCTTAACCATCGCAGGGGGTTACATTACTTTCTTAGCCAACAAGGAACTGATTTCTGTAAGGCTCCAGGATAACTGGTATGGAGTAAGGATATCTATTTCATAGGCAAATAAACTGAATGTGAAGTGAAGAGGGTGTATTTAAGATTGCCTGATAAATGAAGGTTTAATTTTGGAATAGAATGTGTCTTTTAGAATTAATAGAAAACATGCTTATGGTACAGGTTGAGGCTTAGGGGAAGACATGAGTCCCCTTTGGTTAATGGAGGAGTCTTTGAACAAGAAGATGGTACTTAGCCCAGAGATGCCAACAAGAGCGACCCTCATAGTCTTTGCCATGTGCCCTCCTGCGTTTCTCACCTCATTGTCAGAATGATGGAACCCTGAAGAATAAGTGGTCCAGCATCACCCAGCTGGAAAATGAGGGAGCCGGGCTGTCACCCAGGACTTCTTGCTGCTGGTGTGAATTTGTCCTGCTCCTCTATAGCTTGAAAGAGGGCCAAGAAAATGAGACTAGAGGAGACTATCTGGAAAAAGAAACTACTAGTTGTCAGTGTGGTGGGAGAAGAGCAAACGCTTATGAATACTGCAGAAGTTTATTTAAAAAATCACTAAGACCCAGAGAAAAAGAAAGTGAAGTCCCCTAAAATTACCATTTTTAAAGCATAAGCTCTAATCAGCTCTGAGAGTTTGCAGGGTACTATTCACAGCAACTACTGTTTTGGTGCTAAGGTTTGAAATTGGGGGTTAGGTTTAAAAGTGACCAAAGATGAGGGCTGATATTTCAAGCTGAAACCAATATTCCATAATAGGGAGCTTGCAGGGTTTGTGATTTTTGGGGTTGGTTGCCATACTCAGGAATCCCTGGATGGCAGGGCACACTTCTGGCTGGTTCTGAGGAGGGTCAAAATGTGCACCCTTTGTGTCCTTCCACCACAGCTACTCAGCAGTTAGTTTCTGAGGCCAGCTCTTGGCAGGAAATGGTAAAGGAATCTGCAGGAAGTCTAAAACAAGGGAAGGGAAACTCCTCCCTCCTATCAAAGAACAGGCAAGAATGAGGAGGAAAATGGAAAGTGGGGCATGAGTCTTGAGCTGTCTGGGGGAGCTGTAGGGATAGATGGTGTTGAAATGGAAAGTGGTTGAATCCTGAAAGGAAGTACAGATAAAGTACGTGCCCCCAGGGGAAGGGTGTGTGATAAACTGTTGTATTTATTGTGTGACTTTAACATGGAGCCTCTATCTGGTGTTCTTCGGCCCTCTAGAAATCTGCACACCATCCCTGAGACCAGGGAAAATGTCTTCCTTTACTTATAGGGGAGCCCTGGTGGCGAAGTGGTTAAGGGCTCAGGCTGTTCACCAAAAGCTAGGCAGTTCAAATCCAGCTGATCCTTGGAAACCCTATTTGGCAGTTCTCCTATGTCCTATAGGGTCGCTATGAGTTGGAATCGACTCGACGGCAACGGTTTTGGTTTTTGGTTTACTTACAGGGGGCAGTGGTTTGTGTGTTTTCTGGGGTCCATCAGCCCGCTGAGAGGAGAAATACCCTTGTTCCTGATTTCCAGCTCATTCAAGACAAAAAGGATCCACAAATCAAGTTGGATGATTTTACCAGGAGAAAAGAAAAAAGTATAAATGGAATCAAATCATAAGAAATACTTGGTTTGAAGGAGCAGAGGAATGTAAAAGTTTTCTGTTCTACCAAGTTCTTTGTAAGTGAAAATCCTTAGTAGATTCCTGAGGTAGAGGGGGCCGGTGATCCAATGGGAGAAACTGAGTCTGAGAAGAAGCTGTTTGTTTGAAATCCAACAACTCATTCTTGTAGATTACAGCAGCTTCGAAGCTTCATTTCTCCAGCTTGGTTCAGTGAGCTATGCTTCTCTCTGATGAAAAAGAAAATTAGGAATATCTTATGTTGATGGCACTCAGTGATGGAAAGGTGATTGGATCCCTTGTCTCAACAACAGTGCAGTGGATTCTTAACGTGAGCAAGCTCGTGTTTAGATTGTTACCGGAAGAAAGTAAAAACAAACTGCCCTGAATGCTGATTTTGCTGTTTCAGTGGGAAAACATTTTTAACAGGCAAGTGGCAAAAAAAAAAAAAAAAAGCTTTTGAAAAAAGCAGACCTGGGGAGAGCTGAGTGCAGTTTCATAATGGGTATGAATAGTTATTTTGCTTCTGGGTTGTTTTTTTGGTTTTGATGTGGATCTTTTTCTATTTGTTCAGGAAATTGTGACGTGTGTGTTGGGCAGGGTTTGAGGTTTTGGAACCTTTTCTAAAAGGGACAGAGATAACCTTGCCCCGCTTCCTAATCGTGAAGTTGGAGTGCAGGCAGCTGGAGCTACAGTGTGCTGGTCACCATGGAGAAGCTCCTCAAGTGCAACAAACTGGTCCTGGCTCTCTCCCTCATCCTGCTTCTGGAATCTTCGGTTCAAGGTAAGACCTTGGAGTGGCTGGTTGTTCCTTCTCTGCTATTCTTTGTAAGCCCGAGGGCCTCACAAATGACTATGTTCACTTTAAGGCATCCGTATAATATTGTGGAAAAGTAGAAGAGTCGTAGTAGAAGAGGCAGGATCTGGGGTGGCTGAAATCCTTGTGTGAGTTTGGCTCTAAGTTTGGTAACAAGAAAAATTAAACTCTGAAGCAGATGCAGCCTTGTGAACTCTTACAATGACTGATATATGTTAGTTTATCCTGGTGTGAAAATCTGTGGCTTATAAATAAAAAAGCTTAGGAAAGGTACGTGGAAAATGACCCATGTGTTCATCGCATGGAAGAGATGGCAACTTTGAGTGTTCTGGAGTTTCTACATCAACCCCAAGTTTTAATGCATTGCTGTGGTGTCGTGTATTTTAACACTGGGGACTGCTCTTTTTAAATAAGGGTAAGTTTGACTGTACATATACATGTATTTCTTTTAATTCGGTTCTCAGTGAATGTTCACGTCGGGGTAGGCATAACTAATGCGATCTCTTTCAGTGAGATTTTTAAAAAGAGAGGCCAATGTGTTTTAATATTTGTGCTGCGACTCAGAAACATCTCTTGGCAATTTCTTGTTAAATTTCTCTATCATTTAGGGTTCTTTAGTTATACTGAAGCAACTTACAACCTTTCATGACTAAGAAAGTGAAAACGATCAGTTTGTAAGAAAAATACAATTTCTGCTCCTTCGGTAAATAAAGGATCACGTCTAAATAAGGCAGAAGGCCATGGGCGGCCAAATGGATAACAGAATTTATAGTAGAAAAATAGTTCCCCCAAAATCGTAAAGGAAATGTTGAGTCACAGTGACACACATCCTCAATTTGTTTCTTCGAAGCAACTTCCAGTTATGTTCTTATTTATGGTGGAAGTGAAATCTTACAGATGATCTCAGATACGTTCATCATCTATTGGAAATTTTTAAGATTATTTTCTTCTAGTTATGTTATTATTGAAGAAAAAAATGACAAGTAATGTTGACAAAGCATTTTCATTAATCTATTTCTTAAGAAAGTAAACTGAAACCTATGACAGCTGGAACTTGACAGGACTGCCTTGTTTTTCTGGGTCTCGCAAGTTTTCTGCCTTTGACAGGGCAGAGTCTCACCACTTTTTTATCACTGTTAGTGGAAAATAACCTCTGCCAGGTTTCTGCCTTACACAAGTTCCGGTTTTTGCAAGTTTTACTGTAGAAAACATTGTTGATTGTAGGGAACAGGCTTTACTTGGGTCTTTTAGGAAAAATCTTCAACTTGTTGAAATAATTCCCTAATAACTATGTGCTCTGGTGAGTTTGAGATCCGTGACTGCAGCACAGAGTTGAGTGGCCAGTTGGTGCTGGGAATACCCTGACCAGAGGCAGATAAGTCTTTATATTTTCAAAACTTCCCAAAAGTGCTGCTTTCCCCACTTAGATTCCATAGGTCAAATAGAATTAAAACAGACCCAAAAAAAAAAAAAAAATTCCTTTTGTAGTATGTATTATTCATTGGAAAGAAGGGAAGAAGTGAAAAGAGAAAGAAACCAAAACAACACAAAATTGGATAAAATACTAACATTTATGTCATCACCTGGTAGATTCAGATCTTTGTTGCAAAAGGAAGCCAAGAAGGAGACAATAAATGAACTGAAAAACACGGAAGCTTCTAAAAGAAAACGGCACTTTGCCTTGTGTTCAAGGCCCTGACAGGTGTCCCCATCTGAAAACAAAGGGAAACAGATGCTGCAGTGTAATGGATTGCTTTTTGTGTGGCCTTTCTAGCCATGGTCTTGTAACTCCCACCCAAGTGATTGGGTGGACTGTGCGGTAAGGTAATTGTGGCCCACTAAGGGGATTGGTCAGTTTTGCCATTCCACTGGGCTTGAAATGAGCCACCCTAGAGGCAGGAAAGAGAAGAGCCCACCCCCACCAAGGAAGGAGAGACCCACAGGAGATGGTGCAGTGGGCTCCCTGGTGCACGGAGCAAGAAAGCTTAGTGCCTTAGGTCAGAGACTGAGGGCCAGGGAGAAGCGTACGCCTGACCCACGAATTTGGGACTTGCCAGCCTCCACAACCACATAAACCATTTCCTTTATATTCTGTGAGACACTGCAGCGAATTAGGAAACCCAAAGACAGGAGGGAGAGTACCGAGGCCAGAGGGAGTAGTTGATGTTAGAAATGATGGAGTGGTACAGCAGCCTGGAAAAGTTAGACATTTGGGACATCTTTAACCTCCGCCTCATAGGAACCAGCTTTGTGCTGAGCCTTATAAAAGAAATTATTCATTTACCTGGCAACCCCTGGCTGCCTGTGTAAGTGATAGCAACACAGCCTATAATACAGTCATGCCACCATTTCATCCTATGCCCATGTGATGCTAAGTATGATTTGATAACATTCTTTTCCCACCTTTTACAATTTTTTTTTACTTAACTCATTGGTTTGACTGAACTGTACAACTTAATTAGACTTGTTATTTGCTTTTTCTGGGCATATTCCAGGCATTTATATTAATCTAAGACAACTCGAAGTAAAGACATGTTGCAAAACTTGTCTAGGGATTGCGGAGTGAAAGGGAAGTTTACAACGTGTGTGAGCTCCTGGACAGCGTAGATGGCTAATCTATTTCATTTAGAGCTCAGAGGATTATTGATGAGGCCTATGAGGCCTGAACTGTTTTATTGCCTCTCTGTTTCAAAGATGCCCAGAAAGAGAGAAAATGGAAAATCTAAGAGCAAGTGTAGCCAGACTAAGTGTCTGCTCGACACTGTCTCCTAGATCACAGTAGAGATGGTAATTGCACACGTGTGGTACTGTTTGGTGATTTCACATTCATTCTCTGGTAATGGTCATTGTCTTCCCTCTGAGGATGAATTAGCACTAATTTATCGAGGCAAAAACAGAATCTTAGCTTCACCCTCGCTTTTGCTCCTTACATCAGCCTTATGCAAAAGTTTAAGAGACTTACCCAAGACTCTTTGCAACTAATTAATGGCTGAACTGTACAACTAATTAATGGCTGAATTGGTTGCCCTATTTTAAGGTTAGAGTTAACTTTATATTGCAACTCAGCAGTCTTCTTAGGTGGATTGGAAGTTTTCCTTACTTAAAACAAAAAGCAAAAAACCTTCCTTTGCCAGTAGCCTGGCTGTAACATTTACCACTGACTTGAGGGATTAGTTGTAGTTGTTATGTGCTGTCAAGTGGATTCTGACTCATAGCGAACCCATGTGACAGTAGAACTGCTCCATAGGGTTTCCTAGGCTGTAATCTTTATGGAAGCGGATTGCCAGGTTGCCAGGTCTTTTCTCCCGCGGGGCTGCTGGTGGCTTCAAGCTGTTGACCTTTGGGTTATTGGCTAAGCGCTTAACTACCATGCCACCAGTGCTCCTTACTTGAGGATTTTTTTCTTTTTCTTCTGTTACTGACTCATAGTGGCTCTATAGGAGGGAGAAATAGAGAGTAAACTTGGAGCTTTTTGTAGCCTGTTAAACCACACAGGGGTGGAGGGGAACCTTATCCATCTTGTGGAACCGATAGGCCAGAAGGAAGTAACTCCAGCTTAGATAATGAAGGCTGCTCTTTAAGAGTTACCATTTTGAATGACTTAAAATGGTCTTTTTTTTTTTTTTCTTTAACATGGCATTTTCTTCTTAAGTTTCTCTAACATGCATGCTGTAAGTCTCCATTAAGAACAGGAAATTAGTAAATTATGATAACAAATAAACAAACCAAACAGTTGCCATCAAGTCAATTCCAACTCATGTCTGCCCTGTGTGTTGCAGAGTAGAACTGCACTTCATAGAGTTTTCAAGGCTATGACCCTTTGGAAGCAGATTGCCAGACCTTTCTTCTGATGCATCTCTGGGTTGGTTCGAACCACCTACCTTTTGTTTAGTGGTCAGGCACTTAACTATTTGTGCCACCCAAGGATTCCAAATTGTGGTTATGTTGTGGAAAAATCAGTACTGCAATATAGAAAGATACAGATTCAACTGGGGAAAGTTATTTGCTCTGGTAACATTTGCTTATATAAAGTTCTTGGTAAAGTAGGGCTAGTGACCTTTGTGTGGGAGTGGTGGGAGGCAGAAGATAGGCAGTAAGGGAAGGAATTCCAAGCAAAAATCATTCTTTCCCTCGGAATCCACCACAAAATCAACCACCAGATGCTGTAAGTAGGCCTTTCCGGAAGATAACATTTCTTTCCATGAACATACTTTATTTTATTTTTTAAATTATGATAGTAACAAGATGTTTATCTTAAGCAAGATGGAGTCAAGATACTCCCAGATCAAGGGACAGCCTCACTAGTGAATTTTCATATCTTGCCAACACCCTTGAATAGATACTTCAGGAATTTTGCGTCTGTAACGATGTTCTTTATTTTAGAGTACATTTAAAATCATCAACCCCAAATTTAGACAGACTTTTGGGATGGAGGTATTCTACCTTCAATTTCTGTATAAATTTTAAAAGCTGAGATTCTAGACTCTGCGAGAATTTCGTATTTTAGGAATTTTCTTTTTTTTTAAACTATGTGCCAAAATTGTGTTTGTTATACCAGTGAAGAGATGCGGTCTTTTATTTGGATACCTCCTCCTAACAGGAATTTTATTTTTTCTGTTTCACTTCGTATCCAAGCAAAATTTTCTTTAGCTTGATTTTCAGTGTAACAGCTCCATGTAGAGGAGACAGCCTAGACCTGTGCTGTCCAATATGGTAGCCGCCAGTCACCTGTGGCTATTGAGCACCAGAAATGTGACAAGTCCCAATGGAGACGTGTGTAAGTGCAAAATAGACACCAGATGTCAAAGACTTAGTATGAAAAAAGGAATGTAAACTATCCCATTAATAACTTTTATATTGATGATATGTTAAAATGATGATATTTCAAATATGTTGGGCTAAATATATATATTTAAATGAATATTACGTGTTTCTTTTTTTTAAATTGTGCTTTAGGTGAAAGTTTACACCTCAAGTTAATTTCTCATTCAAAAATTTACACCTGATTCTTTTTAAAATGTGGGTACAAGAACATTTAAAATCCCGTGTGTGGGTCAGCTTATAGTCGCATGGAGCAGCGCTGGTCTAGGCAGCAGAGGGTGTGAAGACGTCGCCCTCTGCTGGAGAAGAAGTTGGACTTTTATCCCAACTGCAAGAAGGAGCTGCTTAGTTCTTAGATGCCAAACCAAAGCCTACCGTGTATGACGGACCGTGCTAGGTGCTTCACATACTTTTATCTCATTTAAACAGGAACTCTTTGGGGTATAATAATAATAATACATAAAATATATTTGAAATATGAGAATTTGAGAATCAGAGAGGTAGTAAGTTGTAGAATGGGAATTTAAATTCTGGTCTGTCTTACAAGCTGTCTACCACCAGAAACGGATTGTCATCCTCTTTCTCCCCCTCACCAGAGCAACTAGTGCTGTTGTGCCCCTGGGTGGTGCAAACGGTTAAGTGCTCGACTGCTAACTGATAAGTTGGTGGTTTGATTCTACCCAGAAGCACTTTGGAATAAAGGCCTGGCTGGCAATCTACTTCCGAAAGATCATATAGTCATTGAAAATCCTACGGAGTGCAGTTCTATTCTGAAGTTCATGGGGTACTATGAGTCAGAATTGATCAACGGCAAGTGGTTTAGCTGGCTTATCATGGTGCTAGGTTCTGTTCTAAGAAGCTAACATTTATTATCTCATTTATTCCTCTAATCAACCCCAAAGGATAGTCTATTACCATCCTCATTTTACAGATGAGGAAATGGAGGTACAGAGAGGTTAAGTAAGTTGGCCAAGGTCACACAGCCAGTAAGAGGCAGACCTTGTGATGTCATCTTGCCTGCCTTATCCCCAGCCTCCAGACAGAGACAAGAGCTGACCCATTGGACAACTAGCGGTCCCAGACCAGACATTGTAAGCTACGTTGAGGAACTATGGGGAAGACGGTGATAGAATAGGAATTCTAAAGAAAAAGAAAGAAAGAGAAAAAGCCAGTGGGAGAATATTTACCTTTTTTCTACTTTAGAGTCTTTTGAATGCTTACATTTTTAAAGTAATATTGCTTATCACAGCAATTTGGAAAACAGAATGAGGGGAAAAACATCACCAATAATTCTACCATCTTAATACCACCGTTGCTATTTATGTGTATTACCACCTATTTTTCCCCCAATAGCTGTTTAAGTAGTTGTAATTATTATGCATACAAAGTGGTATTCGGCTTTTTTCATCTACTTTTAAATATAGGTTTCCATATGATGCTGCGTAATCTTCACAACCACTACTTTCTTACTGTTTGATTAATATTTTCTTATTAGGAGTGAATGTCTCATAATTTATTTGAGTATTTACTAATGTTGATTAGATTGCTTCCTATGTTTTCCTATTGTAAATAAGACTAAGGTGAACAGTTTTGTGTATCTTTTATATTTTACTGATATGATAATTTGACAATACTGTATTTATAAGATTAATCAGAGATATTGGCTAGGACAAAATTGAGTATCAATAGAGATAATCATGAGTCATGAGGGAAAAGAACATTTTGAAAAAATTCCCTGACTCTGCACTCTTTTAAGAACAAAGTCACTGGGGATCCCATCGAGATGTAAAGTGAAGTGTGGATTTTGAAATGGGCTCCCCTTTTACACCTCTGTTAGTTACTTGTGCGTACTCACCTATAAACACAGGTGCCTAAGAGGGAAAAATCGAAAGCAAAACTCAAATGCATGGTCTTTGGGTGGTTGAGTAATGAGATAAAGAATAATGTTCTTTTTGTTTTCTACATTTTCCAAAATTTTCTGTAATGAACACGTTCCTTTTATAACATAAATATTATTTTTCAAAATTGCAGTGAAAGCAGTCTAGATGTAAGAAATATCCAAATTGACTCTCCACTTCTAGGGGAGAATACTGCAAAAGGTAGAGACCCTTCTCTGCTAGTCCCTGAGTTAAAGCCAGGGAACCCTTTGACAAGTTGCTGTATGAGTCTATTTATATAAAATTCTAGAAAATATAAACTAATCTACAGGAATCTAAAGCAGATTTGGGGTTATCTGGGGGAAGGAGGGACCATGACGAAGGAAGGAAAAGGGGAGAATTACAAAGGGGCAGAGGGAAACCTTTGGGGGTTATGGACATGTTCATTATGTTGGTTGTAGTGGTGGTTCTATGAGTATATAACATACATAGAACATTAAATTGTACACTTTAAATAAGTGCAACTTATTCTATGTCAATGCAACCTTAATAAAGCTGTTAAAAATAAGAATAATTCATTTTGAATAGGTAATACATACATATAGCTCAAAAAATCAAAAAATTCAAAATGACATGCAGGGAAAAGTTGGTCTCCTTCATTCTCCTCTCCCCCAGTGTGTTCACAAAGGCCACCAGTTTGTTGTGTATCTTTTCAGAGATGTTCCATACGTTAAGCATGTATGTAAATATATTCTTAAAAAATGCAAAGGCACACTAATGGTAACACACTATGCATATACCGCTCCTTGCTTTTTTTTTTTTTACTTAATAATACAGCTTGGAGAGAAGTCAAATGGTTAACTCGCTCAGCTGTTAACTGAAAGGTTGGAGGTTCAAGTCCACCCAGAGGCACCTCAGAAGAAAGGCCTGGCAGTCTACTTCTGAAAAGTCAGCCATAGAAAACCCTATGGGGCACAGCCTATTCTGACACACATGGGGTCACCATGAGTCAGAATCAACTCAATGGCAACTCTTATACCTCAGAATTTATTCTGTATCAGTACACAAAGAGCTGCCTCATTCTTTTTAATAGCTGCCTCATTCTTTTTAATAGCTGCCTCATTCTTTTTAATAGCTGCATAGCACTGTAGGGCTGTACTTTAATTTATTTAACCACTTTGTGGTTAATAAACATTTAATTTTCCCATCTGTTGCTATTACAAACAATGCTGCAGTGATTGCCTATAGCACTGGTTTTTGTCTTTTTTTTTTTTTTCTTTTTGGTTCTTACCATTTACACTCCAATCTGTAGGGAAGAACCACGTGCTGGGCTTTAAAATCACTTTTCCTGCTTTTCAAGAATTCTAGACAGCTCTTTTTTTGATAGGTGGTTATTAATAGCACCTGTTTGAATAAAGGATATGAATGATGTGGGGAGGAGATGAACTCTTCAAAGGGTGGTGACGGATTTCTCACCAGCCCTCAGTCCTGGCAAAGTCGAGGAATGAAGAATTTATGTCAGGCTAATAAAGGGCCTCTTGTAGAACTTCCTAACAGCAGGTTTGGAGTTTTTTTTGTAGAAATTAAAATTTTAAAAAAAGCTGTGACAGACTAGGATGTTAAAATCTGTTCCTCTGTGAATAGAAGAGGCTTGTTCTTGTGAAATTTCTGACTGTTCTGAGTGTACATAGAACATAGAGGATGAGTTTTTAGCTACTTTTCACTCCTAAGAATGCCTTATGGCCCTAAAACATGAGGACTAAGGCTTTGTAATATCTCAGGTACTTTTCAATATATTCCTTAACTTTTCTGAACATGATTCAACTCACCTGTATAAAAAGAGGTGGGCTTTGGAGTTAGATATGGGTTTGAATCCCGGGTCCTGTACTGCGTGACCTGTTTTCCGTTGTGTAAAATGGGGAAAATGGTACAAAAATAATAATAGTTAATATTACCAAGTGTTTACTGTGTGCCTGGCATCATGCTAAGGTCTTTACATATGTTTTCTCATTTAATTTTGGGACAAATTTATGAGATAGAGATACCGTTAGTACTTCATTTTGCAGTGAGGGCATAGGAAAGTTGAGGTTTCACAGCTACTACAGATCTCCTGGTTCCAAAGGCCGCTGATTCCAAAGCCTACTCTAACTTTAAACCCTCTGCTGCATTACAGGGGTGTTGTGAAAAGGACAAACAATGTATATACGATTTGTTGTTGTGGGTTGCCGTTGAGTTGATTCTGACTCACGGCAACCCCACGTGTTACAGAGCAGAACTGCTCTGTAGGGTTTTCTTAGCTGTAATCTTTACAGAAGCAGATCACCAGGCCTTTTCTTCTGCAGTACCGCTGGGTAGGTTCGAACCACCGACCTTTAGGTTAGCAGTCACAGAGCAGAACTGCTCTGTAGGGTTTTCTTAGCTGTAATCTTTACAGAAGCAGATCACCAGGCCTTTTCTTCTGCAGTACCGCTGGGTAGGTTCGAACCACCAACCTTTAGGTTAGCAGTCAAGGGCTAATCATTTGCACCACCTAAGGACCTTGTCTGTACAAATAATGTATATATAAGGCTGGCACGTGGTGAGTGATGCTGTTATATTAATGGGCATAAAGCTTATCCACACCCTACCTCCTACCGCGTTTAGAATGTATTTAATTAAAAAATTTCTCAAGGACAGTGTGATTAGAAGCTGTGTAAGACATACTCATTAACCACATGGGTACCTTATTTGGGCAGGTTATCCTATGCGGAGAGCCAGGTACCAGTGGGTACGCTGCAATCCAGACAGTAATTCTGCCAACTGCATTGATGAACAGGGACCAGTGTTCGACCTACTTCCAGGCGAATCCAACAGGATTCTACATCCGAGGACTGACCCTTTTTCGTAAGTGGACTTTCTCTGATTTTAAAGTGATCATAACTTCTGCTGAGATCCTGGCATGGGGTGGGAGGATTGTTTAGAGTATTTCCTTCAAGCTCCTGCTTTGCCGGTTTGGTTTTTATTGCAATCCTCAAAATGCAGCTTGGCAGTCCTGTGCCTGTGTTCTTAATCTAAATCCACAGTATTGAGTTTGAACCATCGCTACTGTGCTTTCCTTCTGTCCCTCTGGATGAATGATCCCTGCTTTTGTGCCGATCCTGGGCCTGTTTGCCCTCAGATCCATTCCTTGTCCTTCTCTGGCCCTGTTCTGTATCAAGGGGAACTGACCCCTGTGGACTGCATTTCTCAGGCTCCGGATTTGTGGCTGAGTTAAGCTAATGGAAGGAGAGATTGCAGAGCATGGAAGAAAGGAGACACCAGGGTGTTTCCCCTTACTCTCTGCCGTGGTGGCACCTCTGGCAGGGTTGTGTCTCGTCCATGGCTTCAGCTTTCACCAGGTGGCCAATCCCTGGGCTCAGGTAACACCACCTCCTTCCATCTTCCCCCCAACCCAACGATCAAAGTGTCTTCTTGCTGTTGCTAATCTTTGAGTTACCTCACCATCTCATATTTGGCTTCGTTTCTCTTCCATCACATGTAGAACCAATTCCCTCTGTGTTCACTACTCAAAGAAATTTCCTTGTTGGACCTTGAGTGTTGCAGCTTCTTTTTTGTTCCCCCCATACAAAATTTTATACATACATTGTTAAGTGACTCTAATTGCTCTCCCCATGCTGTGACAGCACACTCCACCTTTCCATCCCTGATTCCCCATGTCCATTCAACCAGCCCCTAACCCTCTCTGCCTTCCCATCTCACCTCCGGACAGAAGGTGCCCGTTTAGTCTCTTGTATCTATTTGAGCTAAGAGGCACACTCCTCACGAGTATCACCGTATGTCCCACAGTCCAGTCCAATCCCTGTCTGAAGAGTTGGCCTCGGAAATTGTTTTAGTTCTGGGGTGATATTGAATCCAGGGGCCATGCTTTCCGGGGTTCCTCCAGTCTCAGTCAGACCATTAAGTCTGGTCTTCTTACTAGAATTTAAGTTCTGCACCCCACCTTTCTCCTGCTCCATCCGTGGCATTGCAGCTTCTAAGGCCATTCCTCACTTGTGTGGATCCCCACATACCTTCTCCAGGACTTCAGTCCTGCAGTTAACCCCTCTGAACTCCTCAGCATCTTCATCTCACCAACATGTAAACCTTCTCTAGTATCTCCTGTGTTTAGGTAAAAAGCCCTCCTTTGACTCTGCTTCCCTCCATCTGTTGCCCATTCTTTGTTCCTCTTCACAGTAACCCTTCCTGCGAGTGTTGCGGTTATTTGCTGTCACCACCCTCTTCTCAACCACCTTCCGTGAGACGTCTGTTAAGGTCACAGTTACTCCAGGTTGACACATCCACTGGTCACTTCTCTGTTTTTACCTCACTTGATTTCTTAAGTTCCTTCAAAAACAGTTGACCACTACCTCCTTTGAAATACTTTCTTCTCTGGGCTTCTATGACCTCACTTCTCCTGGGTTCCCACCCACTTCCCTGGCTGTTCTTTCTCTTCTGCTCAACTTATAATATGTTGGCATGCCCCTGGCTCTGTCCTGGGCCCCCTTATCTAACTACATCCTTTTCCTAGTGACCTCATTCCATTCCATGGCATTTAACACCATATATGTCAGTAAAGGAGCACTGGTGGCACAGTGGTTAAAGCGCTCAGCTGCTAACCAAGAGGTGAGTGGTTTGAACCCACCAGCCACCTCGTGGAAGAAAGATGTGGCAGTCTGCTTCCATAAAGACATACAGCTGTGGAAACCCTATGGGGCAGTTCTACTCTGATCACTTTTCTCTGATTCCTCAGTCTAAAGTAGCTACCTGGTCACCCTCTATCTATTAGTCTATTTTATTTCTCTGCATAGCACTTAGCACAACCTAATATTTTCCTGGTTTATTTATTTGCTTCTTATTGTCTGTCTTTCCCATTAGATTATAAACTTCTTGAGAGCAGGGACCTTGTTTGCCTGTCACTGTTCCTTCCCTGCCATTCAGAAGAGGGACCAGATGTTCAATAAATTATTATTGATTGCTTGCATGTTGTATGGCCTGTGGTTTATTATTTTCATAGAGAAAATTACCCAGAGGCTGTGAAACTCACCTCTTCACTCTGATGCTTTGTGTTTCTGCCACTTAGGGGTGGCACCATTGCTCTGATTATTTGGCGCTCAGGGGACTTCTAATACTACACTCAACCCAGACACATTAGCCCTACCTTTCAGCCCTCTTCAGATAAATGAATGCCCATTGAAGGCAGAATACTTTTTGGATATATTTTTTGGGAGGAAATTCAATGTTATCTGCTGACAAACATAATACTTCACTGTTACAAAGAATGTCTCAGGAGTGAGGTTTGTTGAAGCACTGTAAATTACTAGAACTTTTTGGAAAATTTTAAATTAAGAGAAAATATCATCCGTTTAGACTTACTTAGGTGTTTGTCCTTTTCTTTAGTGGGAGAAATGGAAGACGGGCTCTTGTTTGTTTTTAATAAATGACTCCTTAAGTAAATTCCAAATATAAGGATTGCTAACGGTTAAGCGCCAGACTACTAGCTGAAAGGTTGGTGGTCTGAACCCACCCAGAGGCACCTTGGAAGACAGGTGTTGTGATCTGCTTCCGAAAGGTCACAGCCTTGAAACCCCTACGGAGCTGTTCTGCTCTGCACACGTGGGGTCGCCATGAGTCGGAATTGACTCAACGCAACTAACAACAACATGCTAAGGATAAGAAAATTAACACTGTTTATATGAGTCTGCAGTGGGTATACACGGAATTGATAAGTGGCACGAGTTAGGTAAGATAAGTATAGCTGAACTCATGGGAAGGCCTGACTTATATTTTTTTGCTTTAAATTGGGAAGCTTTTACTCTTTTAATTTGAGCAACTAGTGCCTGCATTTGTTTCCTTATCTTAAAATTTATTAAGATTCTTTTCCTTTTGTCTCAAACTTTACTGTGTTTTGTTTTGTTTTCCTGTCATGCTTCAGAATGACAAAGTTCCAGAACTTGCAAGATGTCTTCCCTCTTTCTGAGGACTTATCTGGATCAGGCTCGGGCTCTGGATCCGGCTCGGGCTCAGGCTCGGAAAGTGTCTTCCCTACTGAAATGGACCAAGAAGACCAACCAGCAGATAAAAATGATGCTATCTATCACCACTTTAGGTCTCGTGGGAGGAATCTGCCCTCAGACAAGCAGAACTTGGGTCAAGATGGAACAGAAGAGGATCTTACTATGTAAAAGAGAGGGTTTCCCCACCTTGACACCAGGCAATGTGTTCAATACCTTTTGTATACCATAGTTAAATGATTAATCTTGAGAACAAAAAGTTTTATAAAAATTTTTAAACATCTGAAAAAGAAGCTTAAATTTGTATCACTTTTCTTTTTCTCATAAAGTTTTCAAAAGACATAAGCTTATGCTTTAATGCTGTTGTCTATCCTCTTATTCTGGAAAATACTTGCATTTCCTATTATATTCAACCAACCTTACTATGAAGTTAACAAGGCTCCCATGTCTATAAAACTGCTTTAAAGAATAAATTATACTTTAAAAAAAATCAGTTTGAGAAGCAAATTGGCAGGCCATGCCTATTTGTTGTCAGGAAGCCAACTCTGTGAAGGACAGTTATGCCTCTTTTCTTATGAAAAACAAATCAAGATGCAACACAGTGAATTTACAGAGTGGGTATTTGTATTTTACAATGTGAAGTGTATTACCATGATATTACCATTGGATGTGTTGGCAGAGCAGTAGACATTGTTTATTAGAGGTAGGACTGCTGTTACTGTTGGAAACTTAAGACCCAAGTTGAGGCACAGTTGTGCTCTCAGTACCTCATACTGCTTTACTTTTTTTTTTTTTCTGGATATCTGTGTATTTTCAAATGTTACTCTATTAAAGCAGAAGTATAACCAAAGATTTAAGCTGTCTGCTATCTCTGTTCTAAACTCAGTGCATAATCATTTTGGTTCAGATGTTTCTAGAAGTCTTATTGACAAAATACCTTCAAAATTATTTTACAATCAGTACCAATTTTTTTTTTAAGTAGAATCAAATCATATTAATGAGCATATGATGAAAGCGATCATGCCTTAGCAAGAACGTTGTACTTATCAAAGGACTTCCTTTACCTGAGGATATTCACTATCTGTTCCTTTTAGTTCTGAAAATCCTGTCAGCATCACAGTTGTGGATTCTGTTCTGCCCTGTCCATTTTCATTCTTCAGAACTGAGGACATACTCAAATTAGTCTCTGCTGAAGAGAGCCACTTTGTCCAAATTCATGCCCCTTCCCAGGGAAGCCTGAATCCAATGATGGGTTGATGCGGGTATATAAAAAGCTGGCCCCTCACTGAACTTGGGCAACTCTCTGAGCACAGATTCAGAGCTCCTTGAGGGCTCATGTGAGGCTTTGTTGGGACTGTTTTGCAGCTCAGTTTCTTCCTTTACTCGTTCTTGCTTCTTTCCACTGCCCTCCCAGGTATTTATCCCAAGAGCATTCCCTTAGAAAATTTCTGCACACTAGTCTCTATCTCAGAGCTTGCTTCATGGAGAATCCAACCTGTGACAGATGGTGCCAGGAGGGGTAGAAGGCCAATGCTAAGGTGGGATTTTGAAGCTAGATCACTTGCTGCCTGGCTGGCAATGAGGACCTCATCCCTGGCTGCAGATGGCTGTAGATGCAGGCACAAGACGCATTGCAATTGTTCAGCTTTCACTGGTGATGAACGGAGATGGTATACCAGTGGAAGGAAGTGTACTAGGGTACAATATACCAGGCATTTGAGAAATATGGGGAAATAGTAACTCGAAAGACAATGGAATTGGATGGCTTTGCTGGAGGTAATTAATGCTTTTGAAAGAGACAATGAAAGGCAGAATATTAAAAAACTCTTCTCCTGTTTCAGAAGAGCAGAGAAAGCTCTGGACCAGGATTAATCATAAGAATAGCAGAGTTCCAAGAATGTTAAATTGTCAACATATGCAAGTCAACTATGCAAGGTCAAGGTCCTGATTAGGAAAGAATGGAACCCTAAGATATGGCACAACTGGAGTGATTACTTCATATCTTGAATCCCCAGACTCTCCTGAACCTTTGAGTCTATAGAAGAGACCCACTTCTCCTTAAGAACTAATGCTTTCCTCTCTCTTGAAGATGATTAAGAGGCCCATGTCCTTCAAGATAACGTGTACCTTCCCCTCAAGATCTGTCCCTGTCTCCGCTCCTGGCCACTAGGGCAATAACTGAAGATAAGTTGCAGTATGAACCAGTGCAGGAAGCGCTGGGCCTACTAAGTAGGAAAGGTAATATACCCAGAAGATTTTGCAGAACCTAGCTAGCATGTACCTTAGAAGTCGGGAATGTCTATGAGATTTGATTCTAAGAGTACTGGATCGAGGATGGAGGTGGAACATAAAGTTGCACAAGGGAGTGTCTTAGGTTGCCAGTGCTGCCATAACACAGATACTGCAAGTGAGTGGCTTTAAAGGACAGAAATTAATTTTCTCACAGTTCAGGAGGCTAGAAGTCCAAATTAAGAGAGAGGTCCTTCCTTGTCTCTTTCAGCTTCTAGCAGCTGCCAGCAATCTTGGTGTTTGTGGGCTTGTAGGTGGATCTGTCTCGTTCGTCTGTCTTCCTTTTCCCCCCATGTGTGTTCCCCTGTGACGCCAGCGGTAGTGACAGGGGCTGCAGTTAATTCCACTGACCTTCCTCTTAGAAGTTTTCCTCAGGAACAGAGCCCTCCAGGGTCCTGAAGGTGCGATCCCCAAAATTTATATGAAGCAAATGGATCTTAGTGGTGCAAGAGGTGGACTGTTACGGGTGCTGTGCTGTGTCACTCAGAGTTCCCCTTCAGTACTGGAGGACATAATCTCCCAGCCACTGGGAAGTTGGCTGACAGCGGCAAGCTCTTCGATGGACAGAGCCACCCCATCCAAGGCCATGCTCCCTTCTCTAGACAGCTCACAGCTAAAGACATCTATGCAGGCATATAAAGGCTTGGACCTCATGCCCTCTTGGAACAACTTTGAAGGACCATCCCAACTTCAGAACTACCTATGGAGTCATCTAAGGCCTTGTGATTACACTGCAGTTGTATTTATTCCTCTGTCTAATCCTGCTTCCTTCTGGTCCTGCACAAGTGTTGCACCTAAAACCACTCCCTAATAAACTTCCATGCTATTCTTCATCTCAGAGTCTGCTTCCCATAGGACCCAACTTACAGCAATCATCTTTATAGCATTTTACTTTTGGTGACAGTTGTTAAATTATACCCAGATCCTTTTGTTAATGAATCTATTTCTGATTATTTAACATATTTATCATGAACTTAGTGAGTTTTTATGCCCAGTAGGGTGTTACTGTCACAAAACTTAATTTTTTGGCTCTTGTGACTATTATAGCAGAGAAAATAAGGCATGCTGCTTTTTGTTCTGTAGTTAAGTGCTAGGTTTAACACATTTGAAGAAGGGGATAGGTAGTTTAGGTTGGTGTCATGGATTGAATTAGGTCCCCCCAAAAATCTATCAGTTTGGCTAGGCCATGATTCCCAGTATTGTGTGGTTGTCCTCCATTCTGTGATTGTAATTTTACATTAAAGAGGATTAGGGTGGAATTGTAACACTACCCTTACCCAGGTCACATCCCTGGTCCAATGTGAAGGGAGTTTCCCTGGGGTGTGACCTGCACCACCTTTTATCTTACAAGAGATTAAAGGAAAGGGAAGCAAGCAGAGAGTTGGGGACCTCTTACCACCAAGAAAGCACTGCCGGGAGCAGAGCACGTCCTTTGGACCTGGGGTCCCTGCGTGGAGAAGCTCCTAGTCTGGGAGAAGATTGAGTGAAAGCCTTGCCCTGGAGCTGACACCCTGAATTTGGACTTCTAGCCTACCAGACTGTGAGAAAATAAATTTCTCTTTGTTAAAGCCATCCACTTGTGGTATTTGTTAGAGCAGTACCAGATGACTAAGACAATTGGCTTTATAAAAAAATGACACTCTTATGGAGAAAGATCTTAAGTTTGCCACAAAAGAAGCATAGAAGACTTCTATCTTTGGAGAGGTAATTAGACTACTGGAAAGAGTATGAGCTTTAGAATGGCAAAGTCTTGGATTAAATACCAGTTTCACTCTTTGTTAGCTGTGTGACTTTACGCAGGTTACTTAATTTAGCTAAGCTTTTCAAATGAGAGCAGTGTAGTGAACGGGTTAATTGCATGGACTCTAGAGCCAGGTCACCAGGGGTTCAAAGTTCTGTCACTTACCACCTAGGTAATCTTAGATGCATTACCTCAGTTTCCTCCTCTTTAAAATGAGGGTAATCTCATTTTAAAGTACCTACTTTGTAGGTTTGTTGAGAGAATTAAATAAGTTAATATATGAAGTGCTTGGAACAATATTATTAAGTGGCCAATAAACATGGGCTATCAATATTATCCGTACTATAGGTTAACGATACTTGCTCATGGGGTCGTGGTGAGGATTATATGATACAGTGTATGTGATATGATTAGCTTAGTGCACAGCACATAGCAAGATCTAAAATTTAAAATTATAAAAATATGTGTCATAGCTACTTCCTAAGATTATTTAAAGGATTCCTTCTATATGCCAGGCACTCGTAGATGCTGGGGATCCCGAGGGAAAATGAAGACACACCAGATGGCCTTTGTCCTCAAGTTTAGAATCACTCAGGGATTGAATGAGAGTGATTGTAATCTGTTAGTCTTTCCTGGCACAAAGGAAGGTAGATAGATGGAAGTAAATATTACCTGGCACATAAGAGAAATAGCACATCACTCATGTAGGTTCTTCGTAATTACTCTTTTGGGTTCTGTTCGTTAATCAACCAACTATTTACCATGATTACAGGGTTTTTTCTTTGTGTGTGTTGGGGGGGTGGGGGAGCTTCTTCCAATTTTGAGTAACTCTCTGAATTCATAATAATTTTTTAAAATCTGATATTATACAATCAATAAAAATGGACCAAGCCACCAGGAATAAACAGTTAAGACTGCTTACAATTTAGTGGAAGAAACACATAAATAACTGTAATACACTTTACATTATAGACATTTTTCCAAATCTACAATAACTATAAACAAAGTGCGAAGGTAGCAAAAAGAATGATTAATTTTGCAGAAGCTTTTTGTCTGCATTCCCTGAATATCTTCTGTTTTACCATTCGAGTCATTGCTTAAAATATTAATATAATTGATTTTTCAGAACTCTATTTGTCTTCTTAGGTTTACACTAAACCAGGATTTCTCAATCTCAGCATTATTGACATTCTGGACAGGATATTTCTTTCTTGCAGTGGGCTGTGCTTTGCATTGTAGCATATTCGACAGCATTTCTGATCTTTACTCACTAGATTCCAGTAGCACTCCCCCAAACCTGACAATCAAAAATGTTTCCAGGCGTTGCCAAATGTCCCTTGGGCGGAAAAATCCTCTCTTCTTGAGACTCACTATGTTAAAGCAACAATTATTTTTGGATTAAAGTCTTATCATTTATGTCCCTACCTTATAATGGTATAGTATGATTTATCATTTTTCTACAATATTTACTAAGGTTATTGATCCATAGGAATTAGGAACTTTATTATTGCAATAATTCAGCTACATGATAACGTGATTTTGTTACACCCTGGGTTCAGCTCCTTACCATGTAGACCTCTGCTTTGGGATCCTTGCGCATCCTCATGATATGGAAGCTAGCTTTCCTCGGAGTAAGTGATCCAAGCAGCCTCGGAAGTCACATACTATCACTTCCCTTATTCGGTTGGTCATAAAGACCAATTCTAATAGAATCTGAGAATGAACTACACATGGATATGAATACTGGGGGACAAGAATCATTATGTGCCATCTGAGGAGCTGGCTACCATCGT